CACACACACACACACACACACATTTCCATATCCCAAACCTCATTAAACTCTTATCCCCCTTCCCCACCTCATGTCACCATAATGGGCTCCCCCAGCCCCCTCTCCCCTCTCACTCTAATAAAATATATCATCGGGACTCCATTTATCATAATGCAGATGCCCTTGGCTCACCCTGGGGGGTTGGAGGTGGTGGTAGTGGGGGTTTTGGAGGATGGGTATGGATGCTCAGGGGTGTCAGCTGATGCTTAGAGGCTTCGCTGTCACCTTTTCTCAGACATATATGAGGTGAGTGTGGGTTTATAAGGTGTTTCACTGTGCAGGAGTAGAGGGGGACATACATGGAAAGATGTGATGTGACATGTGATTTGCATTATCTGTTGTGGGGGGGTGTCCCTAATAAGACTGGTAACACTTGCACAAGATACAGGCTGCAAACAATCAATCAGAGCAGACAGAGACCAGGCCTAATGAGGAGGAAGCCCCCCCCCCACCCTCAAAATGAGTGTTAATGAATGCAGTTGTTGTAGGAGGCCTGGGGCTGTTGGAAAATCCACATGTAGCACTACAAACAAAAATAATTGAACATTCCTGGAAAAGTGAAGGTTAATAACGAGGTGAATTAGACCAGACTTACTCTGCAGGATTTACTGGACAGCTTGCGCGTCACATCATATTTTCCTTTTAACTCTTTAAGCAGCTGCTCCAGATGACTCTTCTCCTCTTTGCCGGTGTAGTCCGGGTCCAAGAGCACATAGGCCCGCCAGTTTGCCGAGTCGAACCCCCAGTGGACTGTCCGATTCTCGAGTCTCTTGTGACTGTGCACCACAAACTTGTGAGGAGGGAACATAAGTCTGCAGTCCATGCACTGGACGCAGGCTGCACTCGGGCCGGTGTACAGCTCCGGGACGAACAAGCCTTTGCAGCGGCCGAAACATTCGTGGTAGACCTTGAAGCTCCTCTCGGTGCGCTCCAGCTCCAGGGAGCCGAACTCCTTGTTGCAGTGAGGCGGGTACGAGCCCCCGTAGATGAGCGCGTTGCACAGGCGCTCAGCATCCGTCTGCGTGATCAGCCCGCAGGACGGGGCCGAGAAGGGCAGGATCCCCACCACTTTGAGGATCTCCAGCTGGTCCGCCGTGCACCGGGAGCAGTAGATGTGCAGGTCGTCGCACACCGAGTTGATCTGCTGGAGAGAGAAGTCTCTCAGGACGCTGTTGAGGATCTGCGGCAGGCACAGCCGCTTCTCGCCGCCCACCACGAAGCAAGAGATGGGTTCCCGCTCCAGCACCGTCTCGCACCTCTCCGTGGAGCGGTCGGACGGGATGAAAAGTGGACCGGACATCACCGGGGGCGTCTGCGGCGGCATGGTGAGCATCATCTCGGCAGATTTGACATCTTTGCCGAAGAGCGAGTCCTGGTGCCACCGGGCGGAGAACGCGGCCGGTCCGCCGAGAGAGCGCATGGAACTCAGATGAAACTGCTTGAGAGTTTGTTGAAGTCCGGGATGGGGCTGGAAGCTGGAGCCCTCCATGTTGTAGCCGCTCAGAAACCAGAGTTCAAAAACTCAAAATGAAAGATGGATTCGACTTATCGGATCGGGCGTCCTCAGCATCCGGCCACACGCTCGATAACACGCATTTCCATGTCACCGGAGAAGCTTCCCAGCGCGTCCATTCAGAAAACTGAGGGCTGCTGAATTCACACGAACCAGTTCCTGTCGGCGTGCGAAATTAAAGTCGACAACTCCGAGATTTAAAAAGTCGTTTTATCCAACGCGCAATCACGGGTTAGTGTGTTTCTGTGCGCTCCTGTGGTTTTACGCACTCCAAAATGTGCGCCCGAAATACGGCTCGTCTGCTCAGTCTGGCGTACTCTCAGTCTGTCTCCCTCTCTCTCTCTCCTTCTCTCTCGCTCTCTCTCTCTCGCCCTCTCTGTTTGTTTGTGTCTGGTTCAGTCATTGAATCCCAGCCAGGAATGTGACTGACTCCCCGGGCTGGCTCTTCCCTCAGCCAGCTGTTCCTCCCTCTGCTACATGGCAGCTGCACATAGAAAAAAAAAAAAAAAAA